TACAATAGAATATTGTTCAGCAATAAAAAGAGATGAAATACTGATGAAACATGCTACAAAACCTTGAAAACATACTCAGTGAAAAATCCAGTAACAAAATAATATAATCCATTTATATCAAATGTACACAATAGGCAAATCTATAGAGACAGAAAGTAGTGGTTGCCTAGGGCTGGGGTGTGTGTGGGATTGAGAGGTGATGGGTAAGGGGTTCATAGTTTATTTTTTGTTAATAAAAATGTTTTATAGTGCTGAACCAGAGTTGTGGTTGCACAACTCTAATTTCACTAAAAACCATTGAACTGTACATTTTGAATGGGTTGAATTATAAAATGTATATGTCAATTGTATGTTAATAAAGCTGTTCAAAAATAGTTGTTGGCTGGATGCAGTGGCTCATGGCTATAATCCCAGCTACTCTGGAGGCTGTGGTTGAGAGTGTTGCTTGAGGCCGGGAGTCAGACACCAGCCTAGGCAACATAGTGTGACCTCATCTCTAAAAAAGAAAAAGAACAAAACAAAAAAACCCTCACAATTGTTAGAAGGAATAATAAGAATGAATATTAGGTGCGAACTGGCAGTTTCTGCCACAGAATCATAATCCAGATCATAAAGATTGCCTACAAGTTAATTTTAAAAATTAATGTCTTAAAACAATCACATTGTATCCCATAAATATATATAATTATGACTTGTCAATCAAAAAATCAATAATAAAAAATTTAGGCTGAGCATGGTGACTCATGCCTATAATCCCAGCACTTTGGGAGGCCAAGAGTACAAGACTAGCCTAGGCAACATTGTGTGATCCTGTCTCTACAAAAAATAAGAAAAATTAGCTGGATGTGGTGGTGGTTACCTGTAGTCCTAGCTACTCAGAAGGCTGAGGTGGGAGGGTTGCTTAAGCTCAGGAGTTGGAGGCTATAGTGAGCTATGATCCTGCCACCGCACTCCAGCCTGAGCGAAACAGTGAGGCCCTGTCTCTAAAAAATAATCCAGTTGGGCCGGGTGCGGTGGCTCACGCGTAATCCTAGCAGTCTGGGAGGCCGAGGTAGGAGGATTGCTCCAGGTCAGGAGTTCGAAAGCAGCCTGAGCAAGAGTGAGACCCCGTCTCTACTATAAATAGAAATAAATTAATTGGCCAACTAATATATATAGAAAAATTTAGCCGGGCATGGTGGCACATGCCTGTAGTCCCAGCTACTCGGGAGGCTGAGGCAGCAGGATCACTTCAGCCTAGGAGTTTGAGTTGCTGTGAGCTAGGCTAACACCATGGCACTCACTCTAGCCTGGGCAACAAAGCGAGACTGTGTCTCAAAAACAAACAAACAAACAAAAATCCAGTTGATAAACAGTATTCATAATTGATGTCATTTCTGTTTTTAAAAAATTTTTATCTTTATTAATAAATGAGAGTGGGGCTGAGCGGCTTCATGGACTTCTGTGTTCCTCTCTATATACTTCTCTATTATTTGCATTTTATTTTTAAATTAAATATTACTTTTCTGAGTACGTTTGCTCAAGGTTTCTTGGGTGTGGCCCCGTGCAAAAAAGAAAAAAAATACTACTTTTCTAATTGAAGGAGATTCTGTCTAGACCAGCCATAGGGGTAGTGGGGGAAGGATATCAAGGATGTTGTGGGCCAGATGCGGTGGCTCACGGCTGTAATCCTAGCACTCTGGGAGGCTGAGGCAGGCGGATTGCTCAAGGTCAGGAGTTCGAAACCAGCCTGAGCAAGAGCGAGACCCTGTCTCTACTATAAATAGAAAGAAATTAATTGGCCAACTAATATATATAGAAAAAATTAGCCAGGCATGGTGGCGCATGCCTGTAGTCCCAGCTACTTGGGAGGCTGAGGCAGAAGGATTGCTCGAGCCCAAGAGTTTGAGGTTGCTGTGAGCTAGGCTGACCTCACAGCATTCACTCTAATCCAGGCAACAAAGCGAGACTCTGTCTCAAAAAAAAAAAAAAGGGTGTCCTGGAGTATCTGTCTCCCTGGATGAAGTCCAGATTCCTCAGTGTGATCAACTCTGTTTACTGCTTCTATCTCATCCTCTCATCTCCACCCCCCACTGCACCTACTGTCCAGGCAGCAGAACCACCTGCTTTCCTCCTTGCACAGGCCTTGAGCTCTTTCTTCTCCAGGTCTTAACACGAGTGCTGCCTTTGTCTGGAATCTTTGCCCTGAATATATGATATTAGGATATACATTTACTATAAAATTATCCCCTGGCACTTAGTAAAACCTTTATAAGTGCTGGATGTCATTATTATACCATCTGTACACATTACTTGTGTACTTAACCCTGTCACTGGACTGTACACCCATTGAAGATAGGAGTTGTGCTTTGCTGTCCCTGAATGCCCAGCGTTTAGAGCCCGGCACAGAATAAGCACTTAACAAAATGTTAAGTGACACCTTCCTAATTCTTACATCACATCTTTTCCTCCCACCTAATGTGTCTTCCTCTTTCTTCTTGGCCAAGGAAAATCACATCTTTTCCCTTTGTCTACATCAAACCATGTGGATTTTTCTTTCTCCACATTCCAACAATACAGTAACTTTCATTTGCATAGCACTTCTAACTCTGCAGAGTGTTTTCATATTTACTTTTTTTTTCCTCACAGTAACCCCAGTGCTGAGGAAACTGAGGCAAGGGGTGGGGCGGGGCAGAATAACATTTACTGAGGATAGACTAAATAAATGCAAGGCAATTTACCCACATTATCTCTTTTACTCCTCTAACCACGCTTTGTGGTGAACATTTTTACCCCCATTTCATATATGTGGAAATGAAATGTTGGTAAAATTATATAACCTGCAGAAGAACACAACAGCTATTAAGTGGTAGAGCTGGGTTTTGAACCTGGTGTCTGATTTTAAAGCCCCAGTTAGTTCCATGATACCAGATGAACAGATTTGTCTGTTAGCTACATTCCTCTAAGCAGGACAAGGCAAGACTTAATATTGCCTGATTTCCAGCTCACCAAATCTTTCATCAGTCCACTGTCATCTAAAGTCTGCAATGCACAACAACAATTAATTACATGAAATACCTCGTTACCTAGTTGTTTTATTTACGTTAGCTTCTACAAGATTGGTAACGTCCCCCTTTCCCCAGGCAGGAATTGTGTCACAAATATTCACCTCCTTAAGTCTTAGTTTCTTCTTCTTTCAAATATCTATCTTATAGGATTGTTGTGGAGATTAAATATCATTCATAAACACATTTGACACAATGTCTGGCACAAATATTTGCTGGGTATCTTTTTTTCATCTCCTTCAACACTGAATGTCTGGGTTTGGCTGTGTCTGTTCTTGTTGATCCTTTTTTTTTTTTTTTTTTGAGACAAAGTCTCACTGTTGCCCAGGCTAGAGTGCTGTGGAGTCAGCCTAGCTCACAGTAAACTCAAACTCCTGGGCTCAAGCGATCCTTCTGCCTCAGCCTCCCGAGTAGCTGGGACTACAGGCATGCGCCACCATGCCCTGCTAATTTTATATATACGTATATTTTGTTGTTGTTGTTGTTTTGTTTTTTTAGTTGTCCAGCTAATTTCTATTTTTAGTAGAGAAGGGGTCTCACTCTTGCTCAGGCTGGTCTTGAACTCCTGAACACAAAGGATCCACCAGCCTGGGCCTCCCAGAGTGCTGGGATTACAGGCGTGAGCCCTGACGCCTGGCCGATCCTTGATATAACAATGTTGGATCGGAGTATTTTAGTGGGCAGATGTTGGAGTTTTCCTCCCTTCCTATTCCCTAAAAGGTTTGCTCACACCGGTCCAGGATAACTCATACTGGATCCCTGTCAGTTGGTCTATTAGAGCTTATTTTATAGATGAGAAAGTGGAGTCTTAGGTAAAGTGCTAGTAAACTGCAGATCTGCCAAGACTCTAACCCAGGTTTAAGATACCTGGGCTTCTCACTAGGATGTTGTTTCAGAAATTAAGAAAGAAAAGAAAGAACGAACCTGGGTAGGCTCTTTCCGTCCACCAAGCTATTATACCTTCCAAAGGTCAACCTGAAAATGACTAATGGGCAGGGCCTATAACCGCGGGAACAAGACTCATCTTCGTCCTTCTTGCTTTCCTTGCTCCCCCCGCCCCCTTTTGCTTCTGGGGACGGGTTTCTTGTAAATTCTCGCTGCTTTTGCATGGACGACGTCCGGACCCTTTAAGGGCTGGCAGGCTAACGGGCTAGCCCCGCCCCTTCCCAGTTCCGCCTCCTGTTTTACGTCCTCCGCCAATCATCGCCCAGAAGCCCGTTCCGCGCCTCATCCGGGTTCCTAGGTTTGGGACGGTGGCCTCGTAACCAGGCAACTACTGATCCACCTCCTCTGGGGCGGATTGGCGGATCAGTTAGTCCCGGCTCTCCTCTAAACCGCAGGCGGCTGCAGTAGCCGAGGGCCCCGCCCCCGTTACCATAGCAGCAGTACACAATCCTTCCCCCTTGCCCCTCTTACGAAATAACCCTTCTCTCTCAGGACCCAGACCCTCTCCAGAACTGCTTCCAGTTAAGCAGAACCGGGATCTGCGTCCCGTTGCGAAGGGGCATTGGGAGGGAGGGCTGGAAACTGCGCGCCAGGCTGGTGTTGCGGAGGGTCCAGGAAAATGGGGCCCAGTGAGAGAAGAAATGAGTGGAGCAGGGGTTAGGGATGGAAGGGGAGGGGAGGGGAGGAAGAGGAATTGGTAGGGGAGCTTGGAGAGGGTGGCCTTGGCGGGAGGTGGGAAGAACCCCAGAGAGGCAAGCCCAGGAAGCAGGGAGACTGGGCTACTGGAGGAGAGTTGGGGCTACCGTGAAGGACAGGAAAAGTCGGGGCCGTGGGAAGGCATCTCGAAGGGAGAGGGCCCTGGGTGGAAAGTATGAAGTGGAGGTTGGGAGTCTAAGAAAGATGCTCCCGGGATGAGGAAAGAAGCCTAGTTGGGAGGTCAGGGGTCGCGGGGGTGATGGGAGGGGCACCTGTCACTGGAGGCGAGGGAGCTGAGGAGACCCTCTTTCTCAGGGTGAGGACTGAGCTTGATCTTCGGCAGGAAGAAAGATGTCAGATGAAGATGATCTGGATGACTTTGACCCAGATCAGGATGATCTTGAAAGAGAAGATGATGAGAAGGATACAGAGGATTGGGAGGACTACAGGAAAGAGGGGGACGAATACTCTGAGGAAGTGAGCGCTGGGAAAGGGAGGGGTCCCTGGGCTGAGGGACAGGGCTGGCCAGAAGGGGATGCCTTACTCCATTTCCTCCTGCAGTGGATGCCCACCCCGCTTACGGAGGACATGGCGAAGGAAGGGCTTTCTTTGCTCTGTAAGACGGGCAATGGACTGGCTCACGCTTATGTGAAGCTGGAGGTTAAAGAGAGGTGCGTTTATGGGGGACCAGATGAGGACTGTGAGACCCCAGGGCCTCACCTCCTTTCCCAGCCTCATTCCTGGGCACTTTGGCTGAGAATTTGGGTTGCTCTTATCCTAGTGGGAAGGGAAGGATAGAATTTATTTTCTAGGCGCTCTAAGATTCCCCAGGTCAGAGCTGACCTGGGGAATTAGAGACTGAGAGTATTGGGGGGATACTTGTTGGACTCTTTCACTTGTCCTTCAGAGTGTCGGTTCTCTGCCCTTCACAGACACAGGGCCTCTGCTTACTGTTAACGACCCACCTACCTTCTCTTCCTCATCTCTCCCAACTGTTACCCATTCTTCTCCCCATTATAAGCCGTCTCTGTATCGCCCTTTGCTTTAGCACCTTTGCCAGTTCTAGCTGGGTTCTTAGCCCTAACCCTGGTTCTCCCTCCCTCTGCCATCTCCTAGGGACCTGACAGACATCTCCTTGCTGCGCTCCTACATCCATCTGCGCTATGTGGATGTTTCTGAGAACCACCTGACAGACCTGTCGCCACTCAATCACCTCACCCACCTGCTCTGGCTCAAGGCTGATGCCAACCGGCTGCGGAGTGCCCGGTTGAGTGAACTGCCCTACCTGCAGATTGCCAGTTTTGCCTATAACCAGATCACTGACACTGAGGGCATCTCTCATCCTCGTCTGGGAAGCCTGGATCTCAAAGGTGGGTCCTTAGGGTCAGGTACAGTGGCTCAGGCCTGTAATCCTAGCACTCTGGAAGGCTGAGGCAGGAGGATCACTCAAGGTCAGGAATGTGGGATTAGCCTAAGCAAGAGTGAGACCCCCATCTCTATAAAAAGTAGAAAAATTAGGCCAGGCGTGGTGGCTCATGCCTGTAATCCTAGGTCTCTGGGAGGCCAAGGTGGGAGGATCGCTCAAGGTCAGGACTTCGAGACCAGCCTGAGACCAGCCTGAGCAAGAGCAAGACCCCATCTCTACTAAAAATAGAAATTAATTGGCCAACTAAAAATATATAGAACAAATTAGCGAGGCATGGTGGTGCATACCTGTAGTCCCAGATATTCGGGAGGCTCAGGCAGAAGGATCACTTGAGCCCAGGAGTTTGAGGTTGTGGTAAGCTATCATGATGCCATCACACTCTAGCCTGGGTGACAGAGCAAGACACTGTCTGGAAAAAAAAAGATAGGTCGTTTGGATGGGCTACACAAGATTCTTTTCTTCCTAGCCTGGGGCCGACAGAAGTGGGCAGTATGGTCCTTGGCTATGGCACACAGCAATCTGTGTTCATTCATTCATTCAGTCATTATGATTCATTTTTACATTCATTATGGCTGTTCTACATGCTGGAGATATAATGGTGACCACAAAGAAAATGCCTATTCTCTTGTAGTTTAAATTCTAGTTGAGGCAGACATACAATTAACAATGAACACAGTAAGTAAATTTATAATAGTATGTTAAAAGGAGGTAAGTGCTATGAAAAAATAGAACAGGGGAAGGGGCAACACAGATGGCAATTTCAAACAGGTTGGTTAGGACAAGCATCACAGAGATGACATTTGAGCAAAGACTTGCAAGAGGAGAGGGAGTTAGTTAGAAATGTGGATTGCTTGGGCACTCTTCATTCACTTCTCAAAGGCTTATTAGGGAGGCATGTCCATGAGGTCCTTGGACTAGCAGACCACTTGCCCCAGGGCCCTTGAGGTGTTAAGTTTGGACCTGTCCTTCTTTACTATCTACTCTGCATTAGAGAGAGAGAGGATGATTCAGAGGTTCTCAAAATTCAGGCTCAAATACTGAACATCCAAAGTGGCCCTTTGAGCTCTTGCCACCCCCTTTTCCTCCCCAGGGAACCGTATCCGTCTTGTGACAGGTCTTGACCCCCAAAATCTGATCAGCCTGCACACACTGGAGCTTCGGGGGAACCAGCTGGAAAGTACCCTGGGAATCAACCTCCCTAAGCTGAAGAACCTCTACCTGGTACCTCACTGGGTCATGGGTGGTACAGGGAAGAGGGCACTGTCTTGGGTGTAAGAATGCTTGGTTTCTAGTAGGCTTAGCTACCAGCTTCATCACCATAATGACAACTTGCATCATTTATTGAATCCTTACTTGGTGCCAGATGCTGTAGAGATGCAAAGTTAAAACAGACACAGTGGTTACCACCTCATAGGGCTGATAATACACAGTGTGTAGATAATACAGAGATAATTCACTTAGATACAAGTAGCAGCAAAATATGCCATAATTAAGGTACAGACATCAAGCTAAGGAGACCACTGAAATGCTTAGTTTTTAGATGTTTGAGTCTTATTATTCTAGGATGGTGCTGATGGCACTTCTCAGTGGAGGAGGGGGCTCCTGGGACCTGGGGGTGGGTTGAAGCATCTCCTCCTTCACCTGAGGTGGCTTTGGTAGGGTGAGTAGTAGGAGGTCACTGTTGACCTCTGGGATGGCAGCTTCCCCTGGACTTCTTTACTCTCTATACCTGTCTCTACCTACCCCATACGCCTTCTCCACCCCTCCCTCTTGACCTCTTGGATTTCCTTCTTTGCTTTATTTCTTTCTGACTTCTCTTCCTTCCTTATCCCTGATCCCCTCTCTCAATCAATCTCCTGTGTCCTGGAGTCCAGGCCCAGAACTTGCTGAAGAAAGTGGAAGGCTTGGAGAACCTAAGCAATCTCACCACTTTGCATCTTCGAGACAACCATATTGAAACTCTGAATGGCTTCTCCGGGGAAATGAAATCACTGCAGTACCTCAACCTGAGGTATGCACCCCTGCCAAGCCCCACCTTGCCCCTACTCCTGACCAGGAATAGCTTTTGAGCTTGTGTTCCTCTCTGGCCCCATCCTCCAGTCCTCGCCCACAGCCAGGTCCTCATTCTTAATTTCCCTACTTTCTTCTGCATTTAGTCCTAGTAGCAACATGAGGACCCCTGAATCCTTACTTAATTGATCCACAGTTATTGAGAATGCGCTATGTGCCAGGCCCTGTGCTGTGTTTTGGGAACACTGAAAGGAATCCGAGGTGGTCCCTGTTCTTAAGGGGCTCTCAGTCTGGCTCCAGCTCTTTTCTTGGCCCTAGCCTGTGTAAGTTTCCACTGCCCTTCTCTATCCCTGGGCCCTAATGCCCTTTCTCATTTCCTGCCTCTTTTCTCCTGAGCCCCACCTACAAGGGACAGCCCTCTTACTGATATAAAACATAAGATGTACTCAGATTTAGGGAGAGAGGGTTTTTGTAAGAAAATCCCCAGGTAAGGCCAGGTTCAGTGGTTCATGCTTGTAATGCTAGTGACTTAGGAGGCAGAGGTGGGAGGAATGCTTGAGGCCAGGAATTTGAGGCTGCAGTGAGCTATGATTGCACCACTGCACTCTACCCTGGGAGACAGAGTGAGACTCCATCTCTTAAAAAAAAAAAAAAGGAAAAAAAAAAAAAGACAATCTCCAGGTAGAAAGGCACAGGGGATCACCAACTCTTGTTTGATGGAGGATTTTATGTGTGTTTCTTTAAGCTAAGATATAAGGAAACTGCCACTTTCCTTAGTCAACAAGACCAAATCCTTGAGCTGGCAATGAAAAGAGAATCTCTAAGTAGGGAGAGGTGGTTGCACCTTGAAGTCCCAACTCTCATCCAGAGCCGTGGGGCAATCTCTTGTTAATGAGCTCCGTTGCCTGGCATTGATCTAGGGGGATGTGTGCATGTGCCATTACCTGTTAAAGGTCTAGACAGGGATAATGGAGCCTTCCCAGTGGCTATGAACTGGGGATGTTTGGAAGTTAAATAGGGTGTGTGTGTGGGGGGCAGGGGGTTTTGTTTAAATGACTAGGAGGTACCTGTGGGGCCAGAGATGCTAAACATCCTGCAATGCACAGGACAGTCCAGTACAAAATGCCTGTAGCTCGTAGCTCTCCAGGTCAGAAACACTGCACAAGGCTTAGCATGTCCATTGAGATCAGGCTGAAACATTTAAATATGATTTCATAAAGCTTGAAGACAAGTTAGCTGGGTGTGGTGGCACATGCCTGCAGTCCTAGCTACTTACTGCACTCCACTCTACCCTGGGCAAACAGATGGTCTCTTAAAAGAAGAAAGAAAGGCTTGAAGACAAGAACATGAAAATAATGAAAATAAATACAGAGTATCATACAATTAGGCCTATTAGGAGATGACGATTGTCCTCTAGGCTGGGAGGCCCCAGCCCATCCCTAGCTCTAGATTCTTTGCCGTGGGAAGTTCCAGCATAGCACCCAGGACCTGAACCTATGCTAAGATCCCACTTCCTTCTCCACTGACCTAGGTCCTGCCTTTTAACCCTTGACACAGAAAAAAATCTGTCCCTACAAGGGAGATTTGTCCTTTCCCTCCAATTACAGGACAGGGTTACGGCCTAGATTTGTTGATCCAAAAGGATAAACAAACACATTACAGAGTAGAATATGGCATTGAGGGATTCCTCGAAGGGCAGCAGCAGGACAGGGTGGGGCTGGACAGCACCTCTGCAGCAAATCTGGCAACACTTGGCAGGCGGGTCCTCACAGTCAGTGTTTCTAAGGGATCTGGAACCCCATGGAAGAGGCCCTATTCCTAGAAGCTGGCAACCAAAGCCCATTATTCCTGGGTGAACCCTTGTTGACTGCACCGGTAGGGGCAACATGGTGGCCGACCTGGGGGAGCTGGCCAAGCTTCGGGACCTGCCCAAGCTACGAGCCTTGGTGCTGTTGGACAACCCGTGCGCAGATGAAACCGACTACCGCCAGGAGGCCCTGGTGCAGATGGCACACCTTGAACGCCTGGACAAGGACTTCTATGAGGAAGAGGAGCGGGTTGAGGCCAATGAGATCCGTCAGAGGCTGAAGGAGGACCAGGAGCAGGAGGTTGATCCTGAGCATGATATGGAATCAGACCACCCATCCAGCCTCTGACGTACCAGCAGTTCTTCTAGCTTCCAAAGATAGTAAGGAAGCCAGCAGGGAGGTAGTAAAAGGAGGCCAAGGGCTGGGCAGGGAAGGGAAGGGGCAAGAGGGCAAGTTGCTGAGGAAGGAGGTGAGTGAGGAAGGAATAAGGAAAGGAGAACCCTTGGAAAGACCAGGGTTGGGAGTCACGGGATCTCAGCATGAGGAGAAAGGACCAGACGAGGGGCCTGGGAAGAGTTGAGAAAAAGCTTAGGAGATACGTTAGTAGGCTAGAAGAGTAAGTGAAGAGAATTGGGGTGGCAGGCACAGGGGTTGGTGGGGGTGGACACAGAGTGCAATCTGCTAGGGAAGGACATGGCTGGTGCATGGTGGGGGTTGTGGGGGACGGAGGTGGTTGGCGACGTATGAGGAATGCAGCTGGGTCTGGGAGAGAAGGCAGAAGAGAAAGATCGTGCACTAAAAATCTGAATCTAAAAATAACAGGACACAGGGTGGGGGGAATAAAGAAGGGCAGGGTGAGGCAGAATTCTAGTCACCAAGATGAGTGTGGCTGCTGGGCATTTCAGATGGGGGCAGAGGCTTTAATTCTGTACTACTCTTCCTCCAGGAGATCAAAGATGCTGCCCCCGAAACCTGACCAGCTCCAGTGAGGGGCCATCGCACTCAGACCTCGTGGGGTGGAGACAGAGGATGTCTCTTTCAGCCCCAGATCTAGAAACTCATCACAGCCTAAGGCCCAGGCTTTGTGCCAGTCTAGGCAGGGGACAGTCCTCAGCTACGGAGGTGTGGTGGGAACCAGGCCCTTGTGCCCCACAGGAGTGCAGGTAGGGCAGGCTGGGGTGTTAGGAACAGTTCAGTTTTCTAATAAAGAGACATTTTAATACTCGTGTGTGTCTTGGGCTTCCTGGCAGTGTGGGCCTCGGATTCCAACGACTGGGGTGAGGCAGTGCCTGTTACTCTCGAGTGGGTCGAGGCGTGGGGATGAGCGCGCGTATGTGGGGGGGATGGGGCAGGTATTGGGTCGCCCCAGCCCCTCCCCCATCGCTTCCCCCAACCCTCCCCCCCAGCGGTCCCCAGCCACTGGTCCCCCACCCGCGCAGTACGTGCGCCTCCGCCGGCAGCTCCTGACTCATCGGGGGCTCCGGGTCACATGCGCCCGCCCGGCCCTATAGGCGCCTCCCCTCGCCCGCCGCTCGGGAGCCGCAGCCGCCGCCGCCGCTGCCACTCCCGCTCTCTCTGCGCCGCAGTTGCCGCCGCCGCCTCCACCGTCACCGCCACCGCCTGAGTCTGCAGCCCCGAGGTGAAGCCCCGGCCGGGCCCAGCGCCCCTCCGGCCCCCTCCCCTCGCCGCCGCGCCCCCGCCCCTCGCCCGGCCTCGCGCATCTCTCGCCCGCCGCGCTGCGCACCTGCTCCGCCACCGCGCCCGGCGGCGCCCGCCTGCCCGGCCTGCCCGGCCGGCTCCTTCTCGCTTTGTGACTCTCGCCCCCTCCTCATCCGTGCCAGTCCTCTCCACACCTGTTTGCCCCTAACTGCGCCTCTCCACCCCTGCCTGCCCCTCTCCGCATCGTTTGCCAGTCTTCACCTCCGGGTCTGTCGATTTGTTTCTTAAGTTCGGATTCTCGCTGGGCTGTGTGTTTGTACACTGGCTCGTCCCTTTTGCTTTGCATTTGGCGGAAATGTCTTCTCTCACCCTTCCTCAGCTCCCTCAGACTTCCCTCTCCCACTCCTGCCCCACGTCCCCCGTCTCCTTTCACGTTTCCACCTCTCAGCTGCTCACGGGAGGAATGGAGCGAGGGGGATTTGTCTGCGCGCAGCGGAGAGGACAGGCCCAGCCTAGCCTGGCCCCACCGGGTCTCTCATCCGCCTCCCTCCCCCTGCAACCCCTAGGGACTGGAGGGCCTTCCCCAGGGCCCTCTCCCCAGACCCTTCTTGTACATCTCTCGGGAAGAGGAGGGACACACGTTTGAGAGAGAGACTGGGACCTTGGAGTCGCGGCAGAGTCCCGGCAGGCTGGGGGTTAGGTCGGGGAGGGATGGGGGCTCTGGAGAAGAGGCCCCTTGGCTGCTCAGGCAACCCATCCCCTTCTTCCTGGGTTCAAGGAGAAATGCAAGGCTGGCAGCCATTCTGCTCTGCGAAGACCTGGGGGAACCCCACCTGCTGGCCCAGCTGCTGAGGGGCCTGGGAACCTCTGCTGTGCCCCTCCCCTCCTCACTGCTGTTCTCCCATCTCATCATTTGATCGAACCCGCCCCCTACTGCAGTGACCTCCCCTTCCTCACTGCATTGACCTTCTCGCTCCATGGGGGGAGGGGGAGTCCCTTGTACAGCCCGGACTGCAGCCAGCTCCTCCCCACCCCCCACTCACTGCAGTAACCTCTTTCCCATCCCGCCCAGTCTCTGCCCCTCCCAGTGATCTCAGGCTCCGCCCCTCTAAGCCTCTTATCTTTCTCCTTCCTTCCCTTCCCCTGAGGAGATCCCAGCCATCATGTCCATAGAGAAGATCTGGTCCCGGGAGATCCTGGACTCCCGTGGGAATCCCACGGTGGAGGTGGATCTCTACACTGCCAAAGGTAATGGGTGGGGCGTCAGCCTTCCCACAGCCCCCACTTCTCCACCCCCATGCTGGGTTTGGCGTGAGTTGGGAGGCTTTCCCTAAGACCCATTGGGGATGGGGTGCTGGGCCAGGCTCAGAAGCCGGACTGTGAGGGTTGGATCCTCCTTGTCTAGGGGAGCCAGGCCTGGCAGGTCTGTGCTGGAGGTTAGTGTGCGAGACATGCCTGTGCACCCGTGTGTGCATAGGGGTGCTGCTGGGCACAGCTTCATTTCTGTGGTCTCCCACTGTGCATGTGGGGCCTCAGATGGGCGGATGAGGAGGCCACTACTTGTGCATCGGGCTCAGAGTGTGTGTGTGTGTGTGTGTGTGTGTGTGTGTGTGTAGGGAGAGGGATGGATTCGGCAGGCAACAGTCTGGGGCTGGAAGGCTGAGGGAATCTCTGGCCCCTGTAGTATCCTCCCTCCCTCCTCATTCTCTGTCCCCCTCCCAGGTCTTTTCCGGGCTGCAGTGCCCAGTGGGGCCTCTACAGGCATCTATGAGGCCCTAGAGCTGAGGGATGGGGACAAACAGCGTTACTTAGGCAAAGGTGAGGCCATTTCTCTTTTCCAGGCTTTCCCACCCCTCAGCCTTATACCCCTACCTCTTCTAGCATGCCTTCCCCTTCCTCTCCCTTTCCCTGCCTGCTCCTCCTGGCCTGACCCAGTCCAGCCTCTTCCTCTCCCCAGGTGTCCTGAAGGCGGTGGACCACATCAACACCACCATCGCACCAGCCCTCATCAGCTCAGTGAGGCCTGCTCTTTGCTGGGGATGGCAGGGCTGGAGTCCCAGAAGGAACCCTGGAGCAGGAGAGGAGGGGAGGGAGAAAGGCCACCTTTCAGGAATATGGTTACAGGGGAAGGGTGGGGAAAAGACTCTTAACTGCCCCTTGCTCCCCCCGGGGGTTCAGGTTCCCTAATCTAGGCAGGCCACTGTCACAGGGACCTGGGTAGACCCTGACCAGATGTAAGCCTGTAAATGGGGGGACCCTCTGCCTTAGGGCCCAGGCTCTATCCTGGCCCTGCATGATGGAGGCTCTGCCCACAGGGCCTCTCTGTGGTGGAGCAAGAGAAACTGGACAACCTGATGCTGGAGCTGGATGGGACTGAGAACAAATGTAAGCTGGGGCTGGAGGAAGTGGGGAGGCACACGGGTGGGGAGCATGGAGCAGTGCCGGGGAAGTCCTCAGTAATGACTGTCAGAGGACTTCTTCTATCCTCCTCCCAAAGCCAGAGCAAGAGGAGACTGACAACTGCAGTGGGAGGGAGGGACATTAGACAGGAGGAAGAACTTCTCTGTAGCATAAAGAGGAGGGGACTGGTGGGAGATAGTTGGGGATGTTTAGGAAGAGTTGTGGCTCTCTGCCCTTCCCAGTCCCCTCTTCCCCACCTCATTGTATTTTCAGGAGAGAATGGGTGAGAATGGTTGCTGGGGTAGGGAGGCAGGAGGGGATCTCCTTTACAGGCTCCTTTGGGGAGTATAAGTGGAGGCAGGGGCTAGAAGGGAAGGGGACATTTGTGCTCAGTGCCTTCCTCTGTAATCTCCTAGCCAAGTTTGGGGCCAATGCCATCCTGGGTGTGTCTCTGGCGGTGTGTAAGGCTGGGGCAGCTGAGCGGGACTTGCCCCTCTATCGCCACATTGCTCAGCTGGCTGGAAACTCAGACCTCATCCTGCCTGTGCCGGTGAGCACTGCCCACACCATGCCTGTGCCGCTCCCAAGGGGGCCTGGGGGCGGGAGCAACCTTAACAGGAACAATGGGGGGGCAGTGACTTGGGGCAGGTAAAGAGGAAGGATGGAGACATGAGATTCTGAGTCGGGAAGCTGGGGGAAGTTTGGCATCGTGGGTTCACACTCCCAGGGGCAGGGAGGAATGGGCTCTTTGGCCCTTGTGTCATTCTGTGGCTCCCCAGGCCTTCAACGTGATCAATGGTGGCTCTCATGCTGGGAACAAACTGGCCATGCAAGAGTTCATGATCCTCCCAGTGGGCGCTGAGAGCTTCCGGGATGCCATGCGACTCGGCGCAGAGGTCTATCACACACTCAAGGGGGTCATCAAGGACAAGTATGGCAAAGATGCTACCAATGTGGGTGATGAAGGTGGCTTTGCCCCCAATATCCTGGAGAACAGTGAAGGTGAGGCCAAGAGCCCCATTACAGCTCTAAGTCTTACTCTATCCTGGGACTTTAAGAAGGGCCACACACTTCCCAAGTCCTGAGTATGGGTTCAGGGTCCTTGAACTCCTACAAACTTTAAGAGATACAAGCCCTTGGAGTGGCTTTCAGAGTGCCTGCCAAATTCACATGCAGACCTAAGAGGACAGCCTTTTCCCTGCCCAGCCACATCTGTTAGCATCTGTAAGTTGCCACAGGGTCCCTAGGAGTACTGGGAGTTGGTCTAGGTGACCTGTGGGATCCATCCCATCCTCCAGCTCAGTTTGATGAGCTATCCCACACTCCAGGGGATCCATTCCAAATCTATGCTATCTCCACCTCAACCTGTTAGGCCTCTAGGTACCCTAATTTTTCTGTGCCCCAGGAGAGACTGTATAGGGAGTAGAAACAATATGGGTAGTAGTTACAAGTTAAAGTTCTGGGGCCAAATTTCTGGAACCTTGATTTGAAGAGTTACTAGCTAGTGATCTTTCTTTCTTTTTTTCTTTTTTTTGAGACAGAGTCTCACTTATATTGCCTGGGCTAGAGTGCTGTGGCGTCAGCTTAGTTCACAGCAACCTCAAACTCCTGGGCTCAAGCGATCCTCCTGCCTCAGCCTCCCGAGTAGCTGGGACTTCAGGCATGTGCCACCATGCCTGGCTAGTTTTTTTTTTTTTTTTTTTTTTTGAGACAGAGTCTCGCTTTGTTGCCCAGGCTAGAGTGAGTGCTGTGGCGTCAGCCTAGCTCACAGCAACCTCAAACTCCTGGGCTCAAGCAATCCTCCTGCCTCAGCCTCCCGAGTAGCTGGGACTACAGGCACGCGCCACCATGCACGGCTAATTTTATATATATATATTAGTTGGCCAATTAATTTCTTTCTATTTTTATAGTAGAGAGAGGGTCTCGCTCAGGCTGGTTTTGAACTCCTGACCTTGAGCAATCCGCCCGCCTCGGCCTCCCAGAGTGCTAGGATTACAAGCGTGAGCCACCACGCCCGGCCAAGTTTTTAATATATATATTTTTAGTTAGCTAATTAATTTCCTTCTATTTTTAGTAGAGATGGGGTCTCACTGTTGCTCAGGCTGGTCTCAAACTCCTGACCTCGAGCAATCTGCCTGCCTCGGCCTCCCAGAGTGCTAGGAT